TGTCATCATTTTCGTGCAAGATTGGTATATTGACCCCAATTTAGTCAGGTAAGTACAGCGCATATTCGCATCTAATTTTTAATCATAAATTCCCACGAATATGATGCAATTTACAGATTTTTACAAACTGCGGAAATGTTAAAACCGTCCTCGACTAGCAATATGGATCAAGATTATGTTGAATACTATCCGCATATTGTGTTTTTACACAATAAAGCTGAATTGCAAGATTTCACTCCAAGCAGTATGGAAAAAGTGAAGGTAATTATACATACAACTACATTTTGTTACAAATATAATCGACTAACAATCAGTTGGAAATGTTACGATAGCGCTTAATTATTTATACACTTGCAGGAATTTTATAGCAAAGTATTTTCCAGTTCTAGATTACAAACTCACAGTGGTTTGGATATGAGTAATCACTCGATGGAGGCAGGACTGAATTTATTTTTTATACCTCGGATCGCAAGCGAAGGTATATAGTGTGCGCGGTATTATCCGATCGATTTTATTTTTTTAAACGTTTTTTAAATTTTTTTTAATTAAATTTTTTACTTTTTAATCACAGAAGAGTCTACGATGCGTCAAGATGAGAGAAAATTGATAGAGAAACTAAAAATAAAAATACACGGAGTCAACAGGAATCCAATGACACCGACTACCTTAACAGAGAAAAATTGGTAAATGTAAAATGAACATTAGTTTTGCTTAATAGCGATCGATATACTTGAAAGTCTTTTCTAACTGAATATTACTTAGGTACCACTACGTTTCAAGAGTAATGGAAGCGATTAAAAAAAGTCATCTTTCTTCCGAGTATGGAAGATTAATGCCATGATTTTTCAATCGTGGTACATGCGCAATTTACCTGAATCATCGTACATAGAGTATAACGTGTGTAAAGTGATGCGAGAAGATAACCGCAACTATTATTCAAAACACAATTCACGCACAGTTTATAGAAAAAATCACAATGTTTTGTTATTTATTTAGATTTACAAAATACATCACAGAATAATGATAGGAAAGGAACCATTTCCTACGTCGTTCAAAATCATGTATGAGCATAAGCGAAAATATGTACGAAATCGAATAAATCAAGAGGAAAAGAAAAAATAACCGAAAATTATACATCGTCGCGATTAGCCCTACCCTCGCCCCCTCGCTCCCCAATTTGCTGTTGAAGAAAAAATGTTTCTTATTTATGACCGATGAGAACCGACCCTGATCGAGCACATCTACACAAATCGAACAAAATAAATGATTATTTACGAATAATCTTCTTGTTCGCTGTCGGCTTGTTGCATCGAAGCCATTTGTGCAACTGCTTGTAATTGTTGCCATTGCTGTTGTTCAGCTACTGCTTGTTCTTCTCTTGCCTTGGCAAACAATTCTTGTTGTTGCCTAAGAAGTTCTTCTTCTGGGATTCCCAAATTTTCTAATCTAGTACTTTGACGTCTTCGTTTAGCAGCGACGGCTTTGCAGTCTCGCAAAACTGCTTCCGCTTCTGCGCTATAATCTCCAAATCCAAGCTTCTCTAGTGCTTGAAGAACATGCTCGGCGTTTATAGTTTTCTTCTGTTGTTGATTACAAATTTCATTTGCTTCGGAGGAAAGTAAATGAATGAATTCTGTGCAACAATTTAATATCAGTTCTCGGGACTCGTTCGCTACGCGCACGTGTGGCAAAATTTCCTTGATCATCTTGTTGATCGATGCACGAGGCAGGGTCAATTCATCGTCTTCGGTCGGTGATATAGCAGCAGAGGCCATATTTTTCTGCAACATTCAAACGAGATACTGATTTGTCTTTGAAAAAAAGTCTTTTCGCAGAATCTTTATTACTCTTCTTCACTCTTGTGTTATTATTTTGTCGGCTTCTTTGATTTCATCGAATCGTCCAATATATCAGAAGTCATGATTATCACGAGAGGAAAGAAAACTTGGCTCTGGGCATCACCAATATAATACTAGATGGACGTAAAATACATTTAAAATAAACAAATACTTGTTACTATTTAATACACACATACCACATACTATTATACATCGTCCATTTGTAATACTAAGCTTATCGCCTTATCAAGTACTCGAAAGTCTTACAAGCAGCTTTCACGAAAGAAAGATTAACACAGATAAACTGTTTAAGGATATACTACGTTCTCCGAAGAAACGATAAATCTTCTATATCGTTCGAACAAATCACTTGCTGGTTTTCACAATAAAATACTGTGCAATGAAGTCTGGCTGTTATTCGCTATCGAATCACTCATAACTCGAGCATTAAATGTTAACGCGAATTCAGTTGTTGCTAATATACAGTGCGCTTGTTTTACTGTATTTACATAACGGAAAATGTATGTATATGGAAAGTGCGCACGAATCTGTCGGTATTGTTCGAAATTTAAGCGTAGAAGTTTTTCAAGATCAAAGAAGATATACAGAAATGGATGATGCGTATAAATTTTTAAAACTAAATGTATCATGGTTACCCCCAAACAGCACGAGGCATCCTTCTTCCTATAGGTAAATTTTTACGGCAAGCGAATGCGTGAATATACGGGGAATAATTTCGTCACTCTGTCATTTATTCATCTCGTATATCACAGCATTATAGTCACAGGTGCACCGATCGGATACCAAAGGGAGAAAACAGGTGGCACAGAGTGTCCAGAAGGATCACTTTTCTATACAATCAAAGGCAACCAACAGCTTAACATATTGCTACCTGAGAACAATAACTTGATTGGAATACCAGATATGTATATACAACCTAATTGTTCTTATAAAATTCAAGTTATTGCAAATCCAAGAACAAAGCGCACAATAAATGTACCTGAGGTAAATCATTTATATATTATATATGTACACACACACACATGGTAAATTATTCATTACACCAAGCTAATGAGAAGTTCCCTCAAATTCTACAGGTTTTTTATACAGTTCCAGAATGCATAAGCCAGGTATGCAGTTGCATGAATGCCAAATCAATGCTACCAACTCCAAAAGTAAATATAACTCAAATAGAAAATCGAATAATCATAAATTGGGGCATAACTTCTGACATATCCAATGTCCAATTTTACACAATTAGGTAGATGTGCATACACACATGTGCAAAAAGCTATTGCACATTTGACAAGCTTAAATTCGTTTAAACATTTGAGTACCATTTTATAGCATTGGTGTGCCTCTTTTAACATCGAGGAAAGGATTGCCTGTTTACAATGTAACAAAAATTGGACAGGTATCTGCAAAAGAAACTATGTTTTCATGGGACTTGAAAGCCAATGTTGAATACATAAAAACTGAAGACAGTTATAAGATAATTGTTAATGCTATCAATGATCATGGATGCTTTGGACCAGAGGGAAGTTTTATTATGCATTTTATACCATCAAACACAGAAACTGTAAATCCCAATGTAGTAAGTTATTAACAAAACCTATAATGTTCAAAGTGAACATTTAACAAAAACTGTTTTATTTTTCAGTGGTTTATATTAATTCTAGTAACCGGTTGTGTTCTATTTGGAGTTTTAAGTGTTATGGTATATCGTAATTTGCTTATGTTATGTCAAAACAATCAGGATATCCGGATACATGCAATTGCTAAGTGTAAATCTCAATGGGCAGATGCAATACATCAGAAGTCTAACATTCTATACATCAGGCATGAATTTGAGGTAAAAAGGTATTTTGTGTTTATAGAGTACACAATGCTAGTAGTATTAATTATAGTAATTCTCATAGGAGGACTGTAGAGAAGAAACTGATAAATTAAAAGCTTCATTGAATAAGGTAAAGTTAATACGTGAATTGGGCACTGGGCAATTTGGAAAGGTATATCTTGGTCATTTAGACGATATAAAGGATACTCTGGTTGCTGTAAAAATGTCCCAGCAAAAAGGCATGTCCCTTGATTCTGACATACAACAGCAATTTATAAAGGAAATAGAAATAATGAGAATGGCAGGAACTCACCCTCATTTAGTAGGCCTCATAGGCTACTGCATTCAACCAAACAAACCAATGTGTATCCTATTGGAATATATGCAAGGTGGAGATTTATTAACTTACTTGCTCCAGATAAGAAAACAACAAAGCAACAGAAGCCCTGATCAAGGTAAAAATACTGGAAAAGGTGTATCTAAACTATATGCCTCAGAAACTAGGTTAATTATCAACAATGCAAGCTGACAAATAGAAACTATACAACAATCTTGGTTTTCAGGTTTATATTCGAACATAACATCTGCTATACGGAGCAAAAAGGACATTTACAAATTTAGACAATACATAAATATCAGTAGTAATGATAGACAGGAGGCAAAAGATATGAAAGATGCTTCTTGGATAGGGAAAATGAGAGAACATCAATTTTTCAAATTTGCTACAGAAATTGCTATTGGTATGGAACACTTGGAAGTTAAAGGAATTACTCACAGAGATCTAGCAGCAAGAAATATTCTTCTGAGCTCAGATTTGACTATCAAGGTATCCACCTAACATGTAAAAATTTTAAAAATTATTTTTAATAACTGTGATTATATGGAGAATTTTTAACAAGATCCAAACAATAATATCTAGATCTCAGACTTTGGGCTTTCTCGTAACGGTGTATACGTAATAAAGAAAACAGAAGAAAAAAAACGCCCTCTTCCAATAAGATGGATGTCACCAGAGGCTCTGTATAATCGAGTTTTTTCTTCGAAAAGCGATGTTTGGTCTTACGGAGTAGTACTCTGGGAAATTAGCACTTTAGGTGATTTTCCATATGCGAATGTGGAAAATGATCGTTTGTGGAGTTATATCGTTCGCGAGAATGGTCGTTTGGAACAACCCGATGGTGTTCCTTTGAATATTTATGAATTTATGCGTTCTTGCTGGGCTACAGAGCCTGAGAATAGACCGAATTTTACACAACTTCTTACCAATTTACGTATCCTGAACGAATCTTTCAATGACACTGTTCAAACGGTTTCCAATCCCTGTTACGCGTTGTCATTTCCCAATAAAATCATATAACATTTACTTGAAACGAGTACTTCAAATGATAATATAATATAGAAGCGTATAATCTGGTAAAAGAGGCGAAATATCACTTACGTGTCAGATTTTCAGCAAATATATTGACACGGTTAAAATTCCTAACCAAACTATCAGTTATAATAAACGTACTATACATACAAGGTTTACAAAACTAACAACGTACTTCCGGTAAGAAAACATGCTTTTGGAAAAAGGATAGATGGATTTATTTGGCGTTTTTAAGATCAATTTACATGAATTCTTTGATATTAGACGTGTGATAATATACGAGTACGGATAAATGTCTAAGAATTGCAGGATCAGCGTTCTAACTTGAAGTAACTGAACATAGTATGTACCAGTAAATAGTACCCTTTGGTACTTTTTATTGTCTTTCGTTCGTTAGAAAGCAGCCTTTTAATCTCGTGTTTCACACTCACTGTATACATACTTGTCGACCGTGCTGCCCCCTTTTATACATGGCTAGCATCAAATTGTGCGGCGGGTATTCGTAAAAATAATTATCGCGAGAAAAACGATGAATTTGTGAAAAAGAAGGCGCGTTATTTTTAATTAAAGACTAAAATTAAAGTGACACCGTGTTGTTGTACGAGTGAATGTTCCAAATTTGTGTTTTTCGTTTAGCGTGGGAACACTTGTCCAGAAATCTTGCTCACTGCAGACAGTTTTCGGTTGGTTAGGTTTTTCAGCGTCATTTAACCGTACAATTTTCCTGCTTACTCTCATTGGATTTGCATTCTTTTAGCGATAAAACGTTGTTGCTTGGAGAAAAAAAGGATAAGAAGGAGAAGAAAACTAATCTAAGGTTGAAGAAAGGAAGGAAAGATACGAGATTAGAACATGGGAGAAGAAGTAGCAGGCACTATAGGTTACGACACTGTCGTAGAGGGTAAGTTGATTTATTGGTTCTCTCGTTCTCATCTTCTCGATATATTGTATACTCGTATATTTGTTACTAGAGGAAAGCACCATGTGCTATCTATTTTGTATCAGTGTGTAATAGGTTCGATACGGTTTGTACGAGATTGTTCATAAAACATGAATTCGCGAGCACTGCAGCTACTCGTGCCTCTCTCTTTTGATCGTCAATGGATGGAAGATTGGTTTTAGATTGCCCAATCGGGGAATTCGGACAGGTGAAAGATGTACGTGCCCCAAGTCGAGAATGCGAATGTCGTGACGAGAAGTGTTATAACGCTAGGTCCTATTCCAGCAATGGCGAAATCTCTGGTCTTAATGTGTCCGGCTGCGGTAACGATCGCGTTCGGCGGTGTGCCCACTGGCAGGTGAAATGAGAAAGAGCAACAGAGTGCAGCTGGCAGCATCAAGTACAAAGGATGTATTTTTATAGCGATGCACTGAAACGACACGTATAAAATGGTGAATAAACGGACAACCGAACGAACGTACGAAGGAACAATGGGGGGAAAAAGGGGAATTTCTTACCATTTCCGCGAGCACAGGCAAGATGATGTTCGCGACGGCGACGTTAGAGGTCAATTCTGTAACGGTCTCTGCGAATAGGCAGATGATGAATAGTAGGGCAAGTGGATTGATCGATTGTAAAGCGGTCAGAGCGCTTCCTAGAATGGAGGAGAGTTTGGAAGTGGTACTACCAGCCGAGATGGCGAATCCACCTCCCAGAACTAATATCAAACTCCAGTGCATCTTTTGGTGTATCATTTTCCACGTGATCATGCCGGGCGACGGTTTGGTAGGACGATTCACGGGATCCGGGTCGAACGATCGTAGGAAATCGAGTTTCGACGGTAACACGAAGAAAAGAATCGTGACGCAAGCAGCGGCCGTCGAGTCTTTAACGTGTCTGGAAAGCGCGGCGTATATGTACATGGTTGGAATGTTTCTATTTCGCATGGGAAATGCAAGGTGGAGATAATGAACGAAACCGATGATAAGTGCGATACGTACAAGTCGGTAATGTATGTTGGCCAACCCGGCGCGAATCCGGGACTTCTGAAGAACCAAAGTAGCACGACCGTAACGAAGAGGATACCGACACCAGATTCGTGCCACGTGATAGGCCCGAGTTCTTTGTACTTTTTCTCGATCACGGCCGCCGCGATCTTCTCTCCTTGCACACCGATATCGACGGCTTTCGCGTCTTTGCTCGCCGGCCTGAACATACCCATGTACATCACTTGAAGCCAGAGCCACGTGAGAAAGCCCATCAAGAGCATCGACGGGACCGAGTAGAGCATCCAGGATGTCAGGCTAATACCAGAACTGTCTGGGAACCGCCTGCAACGAAATCGTTCGTCGACCTTGATTACTGGACGGATTCGATTTTATTTGGTGCTCGTGTTCAAGAAGACGACGAAGAAGACGACGAATGCTTTACTTTTCGAAGAATCCTTTTAACGTCAAGTTGGTGCCGGTCCCGACCAGCGTGCCTATGCCACCGAGACTAGAAGCGTACGCCGCCACGAGATAGTAGACCATGGTGATGTTCGTCGGTTTCTTTACACTGCAATTTGTATCGCGGATCCGGTAAATTAGATTCTACGACATTTTATCGCTTTAATTCAGACGTTTACGTACGGTTCTGTACCCTCTTCTTCGCAGCCGTTCTGCTCTTCTCGCACGAACATACTACCCAAGCCTTGCTGAAAATGGAAAAAGAACCAGAGGGAGAGAGAGAGAGAGAGACAAAGAGAGAGAGAAAATGAGAAATCGGAGGAAATCGATGTACACAAGCTTACCGCTTCGAGCTCCAAAAGAACAGTTTCGACAATGGGTAACATCATGGCGGTAGCGGCAGTGTTCGATATCCACATGGAGAGAAACATGGTGACGCAAAAGAGGCCCAGCGTTAATCTATGGGTTATGTAGAACGCATGCATATTTTATACGATGTATACGCTTATATGTTGTTATTATACCTTCTGTGACTGCAACCGATCGTTTTAATGATCAATAGCGCGATACGCATGTGCAGGCCAGAATTTTCAATCACGATCGCTATCACCATGCTACCGATAAACATCATCGTGGTGTCGTTCATGTAGCAAGTGCAGGTATCGCCGGTGTTCATGATGCCCATCAACGGATAGAGAACGACAGGAATCAAGCCTGTGATTGGCAGGGGTAGGACCTCGGTCATCCAAAACATTGCCATTAATCCGACCACGTAGAGACATCGCATCGCTATTACCTGCGTTTTGTCCAGTCATGCTTTTGGTAATCTTTTTTTTTTTAGTATCACGATGCGAAAGAAGGTATCAGAGACAGAGAGAGAGAAAGAAAGAGTATGGAAACTGGGACAACTAGACTAATCGTAAAAGTAAAGGGCTTGTTATCAAAACGAACCTCGGTAGTATCGACGAGTACGACAGGTAACAGGATCACCGGCCATAGCACGATCACGAACGATCTCCAGTAAATCGAGACAAATCGGACCAACAGTCTACCGAAACTGTCTGTCTTTCTGAAACAAGATCATACCAAGAAACAGTCAAGGTGGCAGGGAGGGAAGATCGAAAGAGGAAAAGAGGCAAACGGGTAAAGAAGAACGGTAAAACGATCGATTTCGTTGTTTTACGGTCGACGAATTCCTTCGATCCTCCTCTTTCTTCTCCCCTCCAGCCTTATTGTCCTCGATATATATCAACGATCGACCGTCTTCGTTCGATGGACGTTCAATTTTCCTTTGTTTTCCTCCGTCAGTTTCAGTTGGCGAATTACGTACGTCAAAAAAAAAAAAGAAGAAAAAAGAAAACGAAGCGTGTATATACCTTCTGTCCGTGGAATCGATTATCTCTGGGTACGGATCGTCGGGCTGCGTGGCCATTGCTTCTCGTCTAGTCAGAGGAAACGCACCTAGAAAAAGAAGTCGAAGTATACGTACATCTTTCCTGTTAATCAAGCGAAACAGGGAGACATGAAAGAGTGGACAGAAAGAAAGAAAGAGAGAGAGAGAGAGAGACAATAGCGGCACCAATGCGTTTCCAGTTTGTAATGCGCGGTGCAAGATTGCAAGATTACCGGGACAATATTCGGCCAGTCAATTCGAAACCGAAGGTGAACGAGCATTGTCTCCTTATAGTCGAATCGATGCACGTTAATACAAAGAGTTGCGCAACTGGTGCGTCTCTTTGCTTACGCCCTCCTGTCCTCCTCTCTGCTCCCTCCTTTTGTACTGTCTGCATGGATTATGGGCTAAGCAATTTCACTACTAAGCGACACCGAACGAGATTGACCTCGAAGGTCTCGCACACCATGGGTCATCTAACCCTGCCATCCGCCACATTTTACGTATTCCTAGTTGAATGTTGCCCTTCTGTGTTCTACTGACCGCCAGTTAGCCAACTGTGCCGCTACTCTGTACTCCTAACCAGCCAGTCAACGAGCCAACTAGCTCGCAATTATCGTATTGTATCGTTTCGAAAATCGAGCGTAATACCACTTCGAGAATAAAATAATTCCCCGTTTGTGCCGTACGCGGCGGTACGCGCCATCGCCGCTTTCTTTCCATTCTTTTTCTTATCGTTGAATTAAGAAGGCCGCCGAGAAAATAAAAAGGAATGCCCTATCGACGCGTTGGTAATTGCGAGGCGATCAACCAGTACGATATCGCCGAGCGACTCTAGCGTCTTTATGTCAATCATATACAACACCACTCTCGTCGTTACTGTATCATTACTCTCCGTTATATTCGTACGGAGGCTGAACCGTGAATCAAACCGTGGGGGAGCAATGCTTTCATTTCGTTCGACATTAACGATACAACATACCCGCGAACGATATGAAAACAATCAACATCTCGAGCCGTACACGGTTCCTGATATCGCAAGATCGCGGAGGAAAAATATTAGCGCGAAATAACAGAAGGTCTAACCGGGTGTATCGCGAAGTACTTTACGCTCGTTTCAATCGAAGTGTAAACGATTAAACGTAAAACCACCGATAAAGTGGACGGGGAGGGAAAGTTGAACGTGGATAGATGAATAAGAGATCCGTATGATTGAGAAAAAGAGCAGTAGAGCATAGGATAGTGCAACGCTAATTGAAACACCCGACTGACCGATTCGATGTCACGCGCGTCCAAACGATCATCAACGTGTATACACGTCCCATTGCACCGTAAACGGGATCTTGAATCACCGTTGCATTTCACTCACCGCATAAATATCGTACGGAACATGCTTGAGAAAATGTTTGCACCGTCCCTTTCAACGACTCTCAATTATGATTCCCTCGAATCTCCGCCGTTGTTGCACGCGCACTCTGCTGCAACTCTGCACCACTACTGGCTCTCGCGTTTTGCTCAAAGGCACGTAGATTAAGCTATCACCCCTCTCCTCTCCTCTCTCTCTCTCTCTCTCTCTTTCTCTTTCCCCCCCTTTTCTCTCTCACTCTTACTCGATTGTCGCTTCTTCTGCTGCCTTTTCTTCTTCTTCTTCTTCTACCGCCGCCGATGGTGTCCTTTTTTATTCGTGCCCCTACCTCAAAGTCCGTCTTCTGACTGCTCGGTTGGTTCTCCAACGACTGGTGAGCGAACTCGACGGAACAGAGCAGCTCTCGCGACGAACTTGTCGCTCCCCGTCTCTCGACCTTGATACGCCGATGCTCTTATTGCAGGTTTGCTCACGAACGCGACATACCGATCATGGTACCTATGTGGAACTGCAGTCTTCCGCGATCTTCAGAGAGATTTCGCAGCGGGAGTACTCGTGAGAGAGGAGCGACATTGACGCGACGTTTTCTAGCGGGAACAAATTCAAATTCTTCGTCTTGATACGCACCTCAACAAAGGAAAATAGAGTACGCGCCGTTGCGTTTAAATCAATTTAATCGAGTAATTAATCCCGCTCACGCTACCATTTGTCCTCGTGTTTATTACGTGATGCACCTCATGATCCGAATAAACCGCTAAACATAGCTGAAGAAAACGTAACGCGTCACGATGTATACACGCACAGTCGAACGAACAAGGACCCCCCGGGTCTCTCCCAGCTCTATAATTTCCCTCTATCCGGCTGAAGGACAGTTTTCGATCATTCGCGTTACGCGTTTACTTAACGCCGCGATCGCGAAAGTTCGAAAGAAATCAGGTTAGAGTGGGAGGAGGAAAGTGTTAAGTCAGTGATTGTTTCAAATCACGATCGAGCTGCGATTGTGCTTGCATGTGGTGTGCTGGCTATAAAACTCCTCGGAGGACCACCCAAGTAGTTCAGACTAGAATTCTATCTTTATTTTAATTCAAGACTGTTGTTATAATTGACAATTTTAATGTAATTTGAACAGTGCGCTCCTGGTTCACTGTGTTTTCACAAGGTCTGTTTGCTCGCGAGTCTCTTTTCAATCTGCCGGAAAAATCTAACGTCTGACGCTTCTTCAGGCGTGCATTACGAGATACACGCTGATTCACTGACGATGAACAATTTTAATTACCAGTGAGCGTGTCTAACAATGTCACCAACGCCCTTTCAACGCGCCCTCAGCGCGCTTTTTCCTTGAAAGGGCGGGAGAGACGGTCACGTTGCAGATGGACGAAATGGGCAACCGTATAGAATTTCCGTAGGATTGTCCCTACGGTTTCTGAACCGTTAGAAAAAGTAGCCTTCGGAAACTCGTGGTTTATGGTATGTCCTTAAGCTATTGAGCGAGAGAAGGCAGGAATATTCTGGAAAGTAACGAAACGAATTGCCTTCTCTCGGTGAACTGGAGTTCGACACGTGCAAGTGGTAAAAGGAAATTTGAAACTGAAAAGTAATTGTTCGTTACGGTCGAGCCGTAAACCGTGCCTGTTAATTCCAAAGGGTTATTAAAATTAAGACAACGTGGTAAAGCAACTGCTTGATTAACAATTAATTTCACAGTGTGACACCATGTATGACACTTGGTATGACACCACAGTGTGGTTTTGTAAGGACAGTGTGTTAAAGTCCAAATGAATCAAAGTTCAGAGATTCTGTTTAAAGGTTCAAGTCCGTTCTCTGTGAAGTCTGAATATGTTCTGCTTGACGGAGAAACGCTTCTGGTCCATGTTTTCATTCATCGAGGAACGCAGAAAAGTGAGACCTAGAATTGTCCAAGTAAAAACTGGGGTGTTTCGTCCGGTAGAGAAAACCTGCAGGATGTCGCACAAGAAGGTCCCTTGGTCGGGAAACCGGCCCATAAATCTTGGGTTCCTCTTTTCACTGCGTGTGGTCTTACGACAAGTCGATTGCCGTAGAGGGTGGTCTAGCTGTGTCATTTTTCGAGAGAAAGTTTTTTTCGTCTTCCAGCCGGACTCAAGTCCTTCAAAAAATACACAATCCTTGGCGAACAAAGTGACTTTCTCAAAAAAACGGCACGGTCCTATATCGACACAGCGTAAACCTAAACATGTGGCCTTAACAGCGCCTAGAAAGCCCTAACAGAAGGAGTTGAATGAAAAATCGAATTGATATTCCTCGAGCGTTTCTCACAGACCGTACGCGATGTCCCATAAACGATGATACTATTCGCAACTAGATCTTCTCACCTGTGTGTCTTCGCGGCGCTAGTTGTTCGCCGGTTACCAATTTTAACGCGTCGAATCCAGGACAGATTCTACGTAACTTGTCCACGGCGCCGAAATGAATTGTTTATTTAAACACAACACATCCCAGTATGCACAAATAATATGTTAACAGTTAGAGATAGGACTGTTTAACCCTAGAGCGGTCCTCGGGTCTTTTTTGACCCACCGCTTTTTTATATTTTTAGTAATTTTTGCTGTTATCAAGTTTACGTTCCTTGACATTATTTTAAACGTTTATTGTCTAGGTTCATATGTCGCGTTGGAAACAAAAATGATTACGCATAAGGTCTTAGGCCCTTTTTCACCCAAAAGTCTCAAGTGTACAGTCAAAACGAAGAACGCAGTAGGGTTAAATGTGCCTGTGCGATGCATCAGATGAAAATTTTCCCGTATAACGCGATTAACCAGTTACCTGTTTTTGACGAGTATACTCGTCATGAAGAAATGGCAATATGTATTTTGTGTCACGACGAATATACTCGTCATGCGTAAAAAGTAGTTACAATTTGCTGTTTAAATTGCAATTTTAGTGAAAACTAAAACATCTTAAACTATTGCTACTCTGCTTTTTACCTTTTTTTTTTTTTCATTTTTATGTTTTACTTTCAGACGAATCTCTTTTTCACACATTCATCACCCCAGGACAGTTACCAAAAAGCCCTGTCAGTAATAAAATTAAAAAATAAAACAGTCATTTCCATTAACCAGTTACCTGTGTTTGACGAGTATACTCGTCATCGCTTACTTTTGGCGACACATTTTAGGTACACACTGTCCAAAGAGGTCGCAACAGCTGACTGGTTAATACGTTACGCGTTGTACGTATGAATTCGCGTTATAGAATTTTTCTCGTATAACGCGAATACTCTAAACGTAACATATTTGGAATGTAATAAAGAATCAAGAAAAAACAGAAACAATTATAAAACAGAAGAAGTCGGTAACGACGAAGAAAACAGTGTAACGCTCAGCTGAAGTAGATTTAATTTTTAAATGCGGGGAATTCCTGTATATTATTATTCAGCACATTGTACGGGGAATTGCGTTATATGAAAACAGTAGTCGCGGTATCTTTGGCTCGTTAGACGTAAATCTACCGTATTACCATTTATTCAAATTAAATGCTTTCGCTAATCTTGGCACCGCCGGGCATTCGACGTGTTAAATTCGATCTTCCACCATACGTGGCTCTCGTCCCCTACCTGCGTGATCAGCGTGAATCTAATCGCGCCGAGTATTTGACATTTTGCAGAAAAGTACAGACTCTACGCGAGCATATCCTTCGCGATGCTGTTACTGGGGGTTGGAGTACCCCTTTGGTGGCACGTCACCGCTGTGCCTCGAGTACCGCTACCATACCATGGAATCGAACGCCTCTCCGATCTGGAGATCAACGTTAGAACGAAACTAGTCGTGGTAACTTTATCTCGAGATCGGGCAGAATCGCTGACTCGCGCTATAACGGACGTTTTCAGAAATACCAGTGAGTAAAGAGAGAAGCTGCTTTTCTCTTGCCCCCCTTTTCTCTCTCTCTCTCCCTTGCCACCTTGTAACGTAAAATCATTGCTGCCCAGGTATCTATAGGGTAGAGGTGATTTACCGCGTGATATCCAGCAATTTGGTGGCCTCCGCGTTTACTCATCACGAGTTGGAAAAGGTAGCATCCACGTTTGATCCAGAGATCGGCGATCTACTACTACTGGAGACGAGCAACTTGCACGACGCGATTCTAGTCGGCTCGAGAAGAACCATCTTCTTCTCCACGGAAACCAGTGAGCAGCAGAGCAGATCTTTCGATCGAGCATCTTTATCCGCGTGAATGCGATCGCGATCTACATTTTACTTTTAGCTGAATCAACCTTGATTCGAGTACTGTCCGAATGGATGTTACTCGAGAAATCGTTGGCTTTAACGAAGAATGCACTCGCTGAACCGACCTTGTACAGCCTCGACGAGGAGAACAGAAGAAGATTTCCGGCTAGTCCAGCTTACGATATACTGATCACAGTCGTGAATCCTGATCCAGAGAAGCTGAAGGTATCGTGGGATTTACGCACGCTGGCTGACGGTATGAAAAATAATTCTTTTTCTTCTCCCCCTCTCTGTCTATCTATTCGTTTCCCTCGCTTTTTCTACAGTGGTACGCATTTAGTTCCTTCTTTTAGAATACGTAGATCCTTTTCTCAGTGAACTCTCGATCCTGAGCAACTTCTCTGTGAAATCGCAATGGTTGTATCTACTCCCGTTGGACGTGAATCCCAAAAGAGTGCCGGATAGTGGCCCCTTAGGCAGGCACTTTGCTTTACCCGAAGATGTTCTACCGCAGCTAATCACGCCATTGGAAAAGAAATTAGGTAGGTTGCTTCGCAATTCTCATTTTCTTCAAATACCAAACGAGAAACAACGACGACGATGCTTGTTGTTTCAGCCTCGCAAGTCAGTCTTCATCCGACCATCAATTTTGTCATTTACACCGTACCCTGCGACGGCGCCCCGTTACACATCTATACGCGTACAGGGTATCGATCGAAAGTTAACGCCAATGTCGAAGCGTTTCTTTCTCCAAGGTAGGTAACATCGAAATCCTTGGAACTATCGAAAACTTTCAAAACCGACAATGTTACATTTGCTTTGTATTTTTCATTCGTGTACAGATGGGGTGGTGTCGTGTTGATCAATCCACCTGTCGAGGCTTGCATGGCTGCAAAGTCCAACGAATCAGTTACCATTGTTCCCGAAGAGGCTACCGTCGTTGGAACCTTCCTTGCTCAGTTGAAACTGCTTCT